TGAGTTTAAAACGGTCATAACCCCGTAACCGTCCAAAATCGGACACATGTTTATATTAAATTTTTGATCACAAAGACCTAGGAAATCACCTCCTGCAGTTATGCCGTAAAGTCGTGAAACATCCTGTATGTATGTATTTAAGGGGTGGGCCATACAAACTGGCCCCCGCACTGCGACCTTCAATGATCTATTTTGCTTCCCCTTGGATTAGCCATTTATTAATAAATTTAATAATTAAATTAAATTAATAATTAAATTAATAATTTAATAAAGTGTAGGACCCTGCTTATGGGGCGTCATAAAAGTCACTTGGTTCCCTAAAAACTGACCCAAGTGACGAAATCTTAAATAAGCTATGGCCTCACAATCACACAGGATGTGTGTGGCTGATCCGTTTTCCTGCAGGCACCTTTCACAAGTTGGGTTATCTGTTAGTCCCAACTTAAGTCGTCAATAAATCCAACCTCCAATCCATACCCCGTCTATAGTCACACTCCTAAATTGTTCTCAGTTAAATCCGCGTTAGGAAATAGAAAAATTACATTTTAAGGCGTTCTTTACGGCGTAAAAGACGAACACCTTGCGTGGGTGTCATGTCCGTCTGTGACACCGAATTAGCACAAAAACTGTTGGACAGGTTTCTTTTAAATTTCGACATGGGAAACACTCGGTGTAAGTTGTCGCACAATTGCTGTTTCAGTCACAGTAATCCATAATAAAATGATAATTGTACTTTTCCATACTTCCCATTCGACATATGGCGTTGTGGGAGATAATAAGTATCAAAGGACGCCGTGAGTAATTCTGTGCAGAACGTCACTCCCCGCCGCAGCAGAGCGGTGTTTCTACTTGCATATGAACCTAGTTCATTCTGCTGAAACAGACATCGCACAGTAACAATGTTTCATCCCTGAGCCTCGTCCCTCAAGCAATGTTGCTTAGTAACGGTATCTAAACGTACAGGTGTATCGATTTTTAAGTGTTGCGATAGTCGCGAGAGAGTGGCAGCGCGTTAAACCGTTTTCTCCCACGCTGTGCAACTCAGGCAACACAGTTCATATTTATGTGCAGCTAGGATAGCTCAGTCAGTATAGTGAGCAACTCGGGCAACACAGTTCATATTTATGTGCAGCTAGGATAGCTCAGTCAGTATAGTGAGCAACTCAGGCAACACAGTTCCTATTTATGTGCAGCTAGGATAGCTCAGTCAGTATAATGAGCAACTCAGGCAACACAATTCCTATTTATGTGCAGCTAGGATAGCTCGAAAGAGATTCTGTGTAGACAGAGAAACATTTCTGAGTTCGTGGCATTTTGCTCGCGCAGAACAAGGGCTGAAAGAGAGTTTGTATCGACAGATGGCGTAAGTTGCATTAATATTAATGGGTAATGCGGTGTGGTTTTTGTGGGGAGCCGAGGTTCCTCAGTCTGCAGCTTCTACGTGCAGAAACAGCTGCCGGAGTGCAGTCTGGGGGGGGGGGCTCTGGTATTTGTTATTTTCACAATTTCGAGGGGGAATACTATGGCCCTGATATGATTACGTTCTCACGGAATGTGAAACTGGGCAGTTAGCGCATTTTCCGAGGTACGTCCTGCCTCCATCTTCATGGTACATGATTCCACTTACGTGTTTTTGTCTGTACAGCTGGCTAGGTTTTGTTGGGGGGGGGGGAATTCCGCCAGTGTATGATTTCCAGCACTCATAAATTGTGGCAGGTGATGCCCAGCATTGTACGAAAATATTAGAAAACAGATATTTCCATAATTTCATCCTGGATGCTTCTTTGGCTGTCTACATATACTGACGCCCACAGACCACGAAGATTCTCTTATGTAGTGTCTGAACGTAAACCATTGCGTTGAGGTTGCATGCCTCAGCTAGTCACACTCCTACCATTCGTCTGATTTTGTTGCCGGAATGCAGTTTCTCTGTTGGGTTCGTTGTGAGGGCTTACCAAGACGTCAGGTTTCTGATGCCTCTAAGCATAACTTTACAATTTGTTCTGCAGATGCGATGGCCTTGTCATTACGTATCTCTTAGCCTCATGTAACATGACGTATATTCTGCAGAATGGAGGCAGTGACAAAGTGAGGGAGTATAACATCATCTTCATACCCCTTTGAAGCAGAGTGGTTACTGATTCTATCATTTGCTTAACACTTCGCGTTTAGGGGCGCGCGGTAGCGTAGTTCGTTGAGGGACTATACTACAAGGTGGAAGGTCGCGGGTTCGAGTCCCGATGAGGCCATTGTATTTTTCAATTGACGTAAACCTTCCAGCCGCACTACAGCCCTGGGGTCGAGTCAGCCTCTAACATAAATGAGTACCAGGAATCTTCCTGGGGGTAAAGGACGGCCGGCGCGTAAGGCTGACAATGCTACCGCCATCTATGAGCCGATTGTCTAGAAAATGTGAGAGCCTCGACGTCTCATAACCCTATGGGCCTCCACGACCTGTTAGAGGGACAGCTTTACCTTACCTTACATTACACTCTGCAGTTTGCCGACAGTATATTTATGGGTTTCATATGATGCTCAAAATGAAGGGCGATAATTGCAAACTTATGCCTTAGTAGACGTCTGATTCTGTAGTTACCAGACTGCTTGATAGATGTCAGTATGTATCCGGAAGGTCCTGCGACCGGCCATCTCGACAAAGGTATTCTTGGATTTCCTGTGTGTCCAAACAAATGCTGAGACGGTTCTACTGCGCGCTTCTCATGCAGCCCTCTGGCTTCAAATTCGCCAGAATTAAACACCTTGTTGTAGAGAATATCAAATTGAATTATATTTCCAAATAATACAACTCAAAACATAACACGCAACTCTTGACCCCAGTCACTGCTTATTACATCTCTCCGAAGTGGTCTCACTCCTCCCTTGCATTTCGTCAACCTTTTGAAGCCTCAAAGTCAAAGTCACATTGCGACTGACGGTCAGTCAGTCAGTAAGTCTTGGTGTCGAGCCCCATGTGGGGCTCATGACCAGATATTAATTATTATCGTTTGACAACTACGGTTTTATTTTTGTGGGGCGCCCTCTCTGACGAGAGGACGGGTCTGTCTTTTACATATGCTGCTGGCCCTTGCCGGAGCGGTCTTTCTCTGGTCGGAGTCCCTTGGGACTTGCGACCTTATTTTACTGTCTCAGATATGAGACTTTCCTTTTCGTCGCCTCCTACGGCTTGCAGGGTCACGGTGGAGCTATTCGACCCCGCCTCCACACGGGGATTTTTGGTAATCATCAGAGTATTTAAAAATTGAGTTCGTACCTCACAGGTAACATATTACGTCTCCGCTGCAAAGCCCAACCGGTTAATGCTGTTTAAGGAAATGATCGCTGTTTATTGTGAGAATCATACGAAAGATACATAGTATGTACACTGTGTATAAGAAATGTAGAGATTCTTTAATGTTAAGCAGGCCATACACAGGGTTATTTGCCTTGGATAGAACACGAAGAAAGTGTTGACAGTTGTAAGGGCTCCGTTTTTTGATCCGCCCTCTCAGATGCTTTCCTGGGTCCCGTGTGCGACTATGTCATTGCCCCCGTGGCGCGCTACGCCGGAGAGTGGGGCATCCCCGTACTGACGGCCGGCGCCCAAGCGGACGCGTTCCGCCACAAGCCGCTTTCGTACCCAACCCTGACGCGGATGATGGGCTCCTACCGACTTGTTGGCGAGGCCCTGCGTCACATCCTGCACGTGTTCGGCTGGCAGGTGGCAGGCTTGCTGTACCACAACCACGGGGTCGGCTCGCCCCGCGGCAACTCCATGTGCCACTTCACGCTGGGAGCCGTCTTCACTGCCCTGAACCAGACGCCCGCACACCGCAGCTTCAATGAGGACACCGCCACTCCGGAGGAGTACCGGCAACTCCTACAGTTCGTGTCGAGGAGTGCTCGAAGTAAGTAGCGGCATGCGTGCGGACCGTGGCTAGGGTTGTGTGCCAACTTGGTAGGCAAGAACCTGCTGCCTCTCTCTTCGCAGATCGAAGCAGTAAGATCCTCCTAAACGTCAATTCCTGCGTACCGTACGACACGATATCTTCATAGAGATCAGTTGTCCTTTACAGGATCCAAGTTGACCGGAATCAGTCCTGATACGCAGTGGCGGGCCGACAGTTGTTTCACCATACCGGGTAACTTTTGAAATGTTTAGAGCACTTATTTCGATTTGGGATGAAAGGCTATTATATAGTCTGTATAGTACTGACGCGCAGTTGTGAGTTTCCTCTGGCTAATTAATTTGCCTCGTAACAGCTGAAACTTTGAAAAGAAGTAATAACAGTTACATTAAACTTCACTTATGTAATTTAATAAATCTGTAACGAGAATTCGAATCGCACCCAAGGACTCTTTTTCAACGCTAGCACGTCGCTTGAACAACCGTGGCTACGGTCCATACTGACAAGAATGCGGAGTCAATTTCGTAATATTTTTATGCTCTCTGATAGGTCCGCGTTGGGGAATATATACGTTACACATTGGGTTTCACTTTCACCTACTACTCTGCTGTTCTTTCTCACCTCTCAGTCACATGCGTCTGTCTCCTCACGATGTCTGCTGAAGCCTCGTCTTAGGTGGTCATGTCTCACTAGCGACAGCACCAATTCCTCCCCATAGATTTGCTTTAAAACTTCTGCTTCCTACTATGTTCACAGACTTCTGGGCTGTGGCGCCGTGTCGTTTGGTAGACAGGTACCAACGTTTTAGTGGAATCTCCTGCCTACGTTTCTCACAACACGGGAGTCGCGTCTCTTTAAACTGGAATAGAAAAACCGTACAGTAACATACAGTTCCTTCGCGTAACTGAAAATAAACACATGAGTTAATTAATAGAGTGTTTGAGTAAGCCAGATGCATGATGGGACCCCGTATTATCATTCTGCAATGCTGGAATAATGAATATGGAGCTAATGCACGGAATTAAACTGTTAATGTTAATGGCACGGTATATAATAGAACACGTAGGGCCGCCAGTGCGCGTGCAATTACTGGACTATAGTGGTACAGCGGGAAACAGCACTGGCAGGGGTAATGCTTTATTTCATGTTGCAGTGACAGGAATAACGCAACCTGAAATTCATGGAGACATGGAAAAAAAACATATCAAATTCCATTGTCGCTGTGTTTCTGGACGTAACACATTTACAACTAAATGTGCAGCGTTTTATATTTCGGGCTGTCTGATTCATAAAGCGGGAAGCAGAGTAATTACTGAAGCAAGCTTCCCGCTTTACCCCTGTTGAATGACGTCATGACAGTGCGGATGCGTTGTTGTCGCTATTATTCTTGTACCGCTACCCCATTTGACTGTTCATGTGATTTTTTGCGTTCTTTCTGCGGTGGCTATTAAGATTGGGTTCTCAGGGGACATGAAGGTGTGTAGTTTAGTAGACGTTAGCGACGTTTCGGTAGAATGAACTGAGCTCTTCTTCAGAATACCCTGAAATCTTGATATTATAACGAAACTGCATGGAATCACATCCTAGAAAACCATAGCCTTCATATCGTCGCAGAGTTGTCGCGTTCCTAGCTGCAAGTGGCAAAGCGAGTCGGCACATTTGACTTCAGGTCCGCCAGAAGCAAAATTGGCCTCAGAATATACCCCATGTTACAGCTGTTCGTAGCGAGCGGGCTGGTAGTGCTGCGGACTTGTATCCTGGACGTACTCGTCTGAATCTCGGCGGGAACACTGGCCAAAGTGACCGAGGTTTTCCGCAGTTTACCTCAGTCTCTCCGGACAAATCGCGGCATAGTACCGCTTCCTTCCAAATATGTTCAAATAAGTCCATTCGAAGCTTTACAGTTCAGCTACTGACATCGCCGTGAAATAATGTAGCTCCCGCTGCAAATGTTAGTGTTACTGCATGGTTTGAATTGTGTACACCTGCCCGTAAGGTGCACTGCCCTGACGCGCTCTGCGCTCTGACTGTTGCTGCATTCTTCCGGAGCTCGGAGGCTGTTAGGCAGATGTACTTAAATGTGATTTCTGTACCAGGAATCTTACTCATCTTTCACATAAAGCATTACATTTCGGCCCTCATCAAATGTACGAATGAAGACAGAATTGTGATGAAACTATCCGAAAAATATTATTCTGAAACTGGAGCGACGGAGAGTTCCAAAACAACGACTATTAATGAGTTCTACTCTCTGGGATATAGCGCGGTGCATCGAGAAGCGAATTGCTCTGCTTGCGAACTGCTTCATTCTCGTCTCTTGCTTGGCTTAGTCTTCGACCCTGAGACTGGAGGTGGCATGTTCCTGCGAAACGCCGGTTAACTTTCAATAGACAACACTGCATTATATCCCAGAATATAGAACTCTTTATGACCACCACCACGAGAACCAAAATTCCTACAACAATTAAGAAAGACATGTGATTTTCTATTTTGAATGAACTTTTCAAGTTGCATGTGTTATTATAAATGGAGCATGAATTTTGTTTCAATATTTACCTAAGCCGCCACTTAAGCTGCACGAATTAGTACCCTGCTCTCTTGCTTCTGTCCCCAGGTCGCGCCTCTGTCGCTCCCCATAGCCCGTACGGTAAGTGTGCGAATGCAAGTTAAAAGAGATACAGACTGAGTTGCACTTGTGACTGGATGTTCTAAACTGTTTCACTAGTGACTAGAGGATCTAGACTGAC